AATCTTTCCTCTGTCGGGGCTGCCCCCCCCCCCCCCTCCCCCTGGACGCGCTTCGCGCGCGCAGGGGGCGCCGCAGGAAGGCCGTCGAGCCACCTCCAGCAGTGCACGCTGCGCTCTGTGGTTGTCGCTATCACCAACATCTGGTTGCCGACCTGGAGTCGGCAATGCACTGCCGATGGGTATGGGTCGGCGACGGGCCGTCGATGGCGAAATCGCACGGGGCGCCCAGAGTCCGATTGGCGATGAGGAGGCGATTGGTATCGGTGCCCTCCCCTCCCCCTCCTCCTCTTCCTCTTCCTTCCCCACCTCCTCCTCCTCCTCCTCCTCCTCCTCCTCCTCCACCTCCTCCTCGACTCAGCCTGAACGCGAACAAGGTTGTCCGCGCCACCTGCCAACGCGGGGGGCCTGGCCTCCACCTGAGGAGACCATACCCCCCGACCGCGAAGACGAAGCAGTCCTCGCCGCCCGCTCAGGCGGGCATGGCGGAGTGGAGCGCCGCGAAGCACTCCACGCGCGGGGAGGGGGGGAAGGGGCAGGCGGCGGCCCCCCTGCACGGGGCGCCGCACTATCGCCGACCCTTCCGCTGCCCCCCCCCCCCCGCTCCGGCGCCGGGCGCGTCCACCGCCTCGGCGAGCCAGGCTCGGAGGCGCGGCAGCGGCCACGCGGCGAAGTGCGGCTGGGGGTCGGCCACACGAGCGCCAGGCGTGCGGATCCACGCTGAGATCAGCGCGGCCCGCACCTCAGGCCCGTCGTCGTCCTCCACGGCCACCGCGCCAGCGGTAGCAGCAGCAGCAGCTGCAGCGGGCGCCTCCTCCGGGCAGCACGGCGCCCCCCCCCTCGCCGCCGAGCGGTGCTCCAGGCGACTCACGAGTAGGGGGCGCCACGCCCAGCACCACAGCGGCGGCGCCAGGGGCCGCGGCAGGCGCGCCTGCCAAGGGCGCAGGGCGGACGGCCCCGTCCGCCCAGCTGTCGTCCTCGAGGCTGTCGCCGTCGCAGCCCTCTGCACCGCCCGCCTCCTCGGCGGCGTTGGAGGTCACCATGGGCACGTCCTGCGCTCCGCGAGCTCGTCGACGCCGAGCACGACGGCGCTTCCGCCGTGGCCGATGGCCATCAGGCGGGGCGCCAGCCGCGGGAGCGCGAGGTGGCTCTGCAGGGCCTCCACCTCCACCGTTTCCTCCACCACCAGCGGCCGCGGGGCGGGCTGCTCGAAGCTCGGCTTCAAGCATCGCCGCCGCGGCACGAACAAGGCCCTCGGCGGAACGCGGCAGCCGAGCGGCTCCCGCACCCCGCGCCAGGCCAGCAGCGCCGTGCACCGCCAGCGCAGCCCCGCGGGCTGCGGCCAGCGCCGCGCGGCGATCCGTCGCCGCCGCCATCGGAGGCCCGCGGCGGGCCAGGCGGCCACGGCGAGCTCGACGCGGCACGGCTCCTTGAGCCAAAATGGCTACGGATCCTCCTCCACCTCCTCCTCCTCCTCCTCCACCTCCGCCCTCCTCCTCCTCCACCTCCTCCTCCTCCTCCTCCTCCTCCTTCTCCTCCTCCTCTCCTTCCTGCTTCTCCTCTCCTCCTCCTCTCCTCCTTCTCCTCCTCCTCCTTCTGCCTCCTCCTTCTCCTCCTCCTCCTCTTCTCCTCCTCATTTTGACGTTGGGACAAGACTCGAAGCAGCGGAGCTGTAGCCCTCCTCCTCCGCCTCCTCCTCCGCCTCCTTCCTCATCACTTCCTCCTCCGCCTCCTCTCATCATCAATCATTAGACGAATGGGCAAACTCAATGCAGTCGGAGCTGTATCCCTCCTCCTCCTCCTCCTTCTCGGCTCCTCCTCCTTCTCCTCCTCCTCCTTCCTCCTCCTCCTCCTCCTCCTCCTCCTCCTCCTCCTCCTCCTCCTCCTCCTCCTCCTCCTCCTCCTCCTCCTCCTCCTCCTCCTCCTCTCATCATCATCATCATCATCATCATCATCATCATCATCATCATCATCATCATCATCATCATCACTCATCATCACCATCATTCATCATTCATCATCATCACTCATCATCATCATCATCCTCACCATCACCACCACCATCATCATCATCATCATCATCATCATCATCATCATCACCATCACCATCACCATCACCATCACCATCACCATCACCATCATCATCATCATCATCATCATCATCATCATCATCATCATCAACATCATAATCGTCATCATCACTTCCTAATCCTCCTCCTCCTCCTTCTTCTCCTCCTCATCCTCCTTCTGCTTTCCTCCTCCTCCTCCTCCTCCTCCTCCTCCTCCTCCTCCTCCTCCTCCTCCCCTGGCCAACGCTCCTGAAGCGAGGGCGCAAGTGCGAAGGCGGGTGCCCGGCGAGGCCAGGTCGGGCGCCCCATGCACGGGCGGTCGCCGTCATCGCTGTCGCCGTCGTCGCTGTCTGCGTCCACGTCGACGTCACCATCGCCGCCGTCGCCGATGTCGTCGCCGATGTCGTCGTCGCCGTCGTCGCCGTCGCTGCCCTCGTCGCCGTCGCCGCCGTCGCCGCCGCCGACGTCGTCGCCGTCGTCGCCGTCGCCGTCATCGAGCTCATCGCCGCGGGCGCGCCCCCGGATCACGGCCTCCAGGCGCTCGCGGGCGCGCCGGGTGGCAGCTCGCCCGAGGGCCGCCAGGCGGGCTGGGGGAGCTCGCCGAGCGGGACCACCCGGTCGAACATGACCTTCCCGTGCCTGATTCGCCCTACTGGTAAGTCGGGCCTGTCCCTCTACTGGGGGAATATTCAAAAATTGACACAAGATAGTCTGGGGACTATTTGTGGGGGAATGGTTTGACCATGTGGGGGTACTTTTTGACTGTGTTTTATGTTTCGTCCAAAATCCGCCTGTAGGGGGACAGGCCCGACCTAACCCTACTGTGGCCCGCGCCCTGCCCCTTCCAATTTACCCCGCTCGTCGGCATCTCGGTGCTCAGTCGGTTCAGACCGCGGCGCGCCAGGCGTGGTGGGCACGTCGCGCACACGTGGGCTGGTCGAGCGACAGGCAGGACAAGGAATGGAAAGGACCCGTGCCTGGCTCGCCCTGCTTTTAGGTCGGGCGTGTCCCCCTACAGGGGGGCTTTGGGCGAAAAATGGAAAGTACCCCCAAAATACCCCCCAGATGCTCAAAAAGACCCCCCAAACTACTCAAACAGTGCCCGCCAAATACTATGTTTGGACTATCTTTGAATATTACCCCTGTAGAGGGACTGAGCCCTGCTTGCGCAGTCGCCCAAAAGCACGGCGGGTCGGGAGCCACGGATATGCCGCTGCTCGCTCTGGAGGGCCGGCCCGTTGTCTCTCAACCGCCTCCTCTCCCAGGGCACGACTCCGAAGCGGCGGATGTGGACATCTTCCTGAGTATTTTCTTAGGGTGGAGGGCTCAGGGTGAAATCCACATGGGCTTCTGCACTTCGAACGTCAATCCGTCTTGTGACTCACTTTTTGCAGACTCGAGCCTCGAAGATCAATCGAAACAGCATTTCAGATTGCACCCTCTGCCCACCGCCCAAAGAAAATGCTCGGTATTCTGGCGGTGGAGCATGGTACACGGGAATCGTCATTGCACCAGCCTTGCAGACGTGCTGGCGGACTTCTGCGTGGACTTCTGTGTGGATTTCTGCCCGAAGCGGAAAAGCGAAGGGAATCTCGCCTGGGTTCTTGTTGGTCTCCGTTCCTGGCCAAAAAACATCCGCACGAGATTCACCTCGAAATCGGGAACGAGATTCTCCAGGACACCCCAGGCCCACCCTACAGTGGGGGCGCGCATCAAGAAACCATATGCTTTTCGTCAGGGTATCCTCAGCTTCTTTGCTCCTCGTGCGCGGCGACTTCCCGCGGCCGTGGAAGGAGCTGCTGCGTTCAGGGCGCTCCAGGTTTCCCCTCCGGTGCACCTCGCGCGCGGGTTCCTCAGGGTTGGGTTTCTTGCGAGGGTTTCTTGCGGCCGCGCCCGCACCGTATTGCATCTGAGAATTTGTCTGGCGAGGAGCGTCGTTTCCTGCATCTGTCCCTGCTGAGTCTGCTGCGCTGCTGCTGGAACTGACGTTGCTGCAGGAGGCTGTGCTGACGTCGGCTGAGCTGCTGAGGGCGCGTCTGTCTGCATCGGTGAACGAGGCTGTATAAGATCGTTGATCTCCGCTGCAATAATGGTGTCTATCTCGGCGAATGCGATGTTGAGATCCTCGGCTTGCTCTTTTAGCGCGTCCGCTTGCACTTCTAACCTCGCGCGCGGGTTCTCAGGGTCGGGTTTCTTGCGAGGGTTTCTTGCGGCCGCGCCCGCACCCTATCGTTCTCCGAGCGAAACCCGCTCTGCGCTGCTGGCGCCACGGGAAGCGGTCCCCGGGCGCCTCCCGGGGTCCAGACGCGCCAGCTTCCCGAGCGGCGCCCGGACGTGGCGACGTGGCCCCCCCTCTCCCGAGGGCCACGTCGCTGTATAGAGAGAGCAGAAGATCCACCCCCCGAGGAAGCACCCCGACGCGCGAAGTCGTGTAGCAAACGCGCCCACAAAAGGAATCGAAGAGGGCAGGGCTGTCTAGTCAACGCCCAAGGCCCTTGAGTCTCGACTCGCCCTCCTCCCCCGCCTGCTCCTCCTCCTGGTCCTCCTGGTCCTCCTGGTCCTCCTGGTCCTCCTGGTCCTCCTGGTCCTCCTCCTCCTGGTCCTCCTCCTCCTCCTCCTCCTCCTCCTCCTCCTCCTCCTCCTCCTCCTCCTCCTCCTCCTCCTCCTCCTCCTCCCCCCCCCCTCGTGAGGCCTCCTCGTCAGCCTCGGGCCTCACGAGCGGCGAACGTATCCGTATCCGCGCCCTCGCGGTCTGGATGCTGGAGCGCGATCGCGCGGATACGCGGTCTCCTGGATCCGTTCCGCGCGACCAATCCGCGAACAAAGCGGCCCGTATCCGCGGGGTCGCGACCCAGGGGCCCCCGCAAGGCCGCGGATACGGAGACGTGCTTGGCGCCCGCGACTGGTGCAATGGCGACGCCCCTCGGCGGTGCGGAAGAGCGACGACCCCCGTGAGATCCGGACGCTGCAGCTCCTTCACGCCAGGCGTGCTCGCCCGGCCTCGGGCCCCGGGGCCCACGCCGCGGACATGCGGGGCTGGGGCTCCGCTCGTGATTTTCCTTTTTTTGGGGTCGCGGCCGCAGGCGAGAGCGCAAGCGGCGAGTCGTAAATCCGGGGCGCGGGCCTACTAATTGACAGCAGGAGCTAACTAGAGCCGCGCACCTAAACTGCCTGAGCTGCCTAAGCGGCGCCTCAAGTGAGCTGCAGGCTGCACTGAGTGTGGATGCCAGGGCCAGGGGCAGAAAGCGCACACACAGCGTCCGCAACAACTTGTGATTTTCCGCGATGCGGCGTTCTTTTGTGGCGACGTCGGAGCCCAGGGCTGGGCAAAAAACTCCAGCGGTGCCGCAGAAAGGTGGGGTCTGGAGCTCCCGTTGCGGTGTTCCGCGATGCTGCCTTTTTGTCGCGACGTCGGACTCGCCATCGCTCGGACGTCCGTTCCCTGTGTTTTTCCCAACCATCCTGTGGTGTTGGGTCCTCGTTTTGAAGAGACGGTGGCCCGCGTCTCCTCTCCTCCTCTCCTCCTCCTCCCCCTCATCCCTGCGTTTCACCCACCGTTTCGTGGCCCCATAGGGAGCTCCACCGAAGGCCCAGTGGCAGGGTTCGCATGGCGGCCTCGGGCCATTTCGGCACACCCCTCACGAAGATCGTGGCCCCATAGGGAGCTCCACCGAAGGCTCCAGTGGCAGGGTTCGCATGGCGGCCTCGGGCCATTTCGGCACACCCCTCACGAGGATCGTGGTCCCATAGGGAACTCCACCGAAGGCTCCAGTGGCAGGGTTCGCATGGCGGCCTCGGGCCATTTCGGCACACCCCTCACGAGGATCGTGGCCCCATAGGGAGCTCCGCCGAAGGCGCCAGTGGCAGGGTTCGCATGGCGGCCTCGGGCCATTTCGGCACACTCCTCACGAGGATCGTGTGCCCCCTACGGAGCTCCACCGAAGGCCCCAAAGGCAGGGTTCGCATGGCGGCCTCGGGCCATTTCGGCACACCCCTCACGAGGATCGTGGCCCCATAGGGAACTCCACCGAAGGCTCCAGTGGCAGGGTTCGCACGGCGGCCTCGGGCCATTTCGGCACACCCCTCACGAGGACCGTGGCCCCATAGGGAGCTCCACCGAAGGCCCCCAGTGGCAGGGTTCGCATGGCGGCCTCGGGCCATTTCGGCACACCCCTCACGAGGATCGTGGCCCCATAGGAAGCTCCACTGAAAGGCGCCAGTGGCAGGGGTCGCATGGCGGCCCCTCGGGCCATTTCGGCATACCCCTCACGAGGATCGTGGCCCCTAGGAGCTGCTCCATCGAGGCGCCCAGCGGCAGGGTTTCGCATGGCGGCCTCGTGCCATTTCGGCACGCCCCTCACCGAGGATCGTGGCCCCATGGGGAGCTCGCACCGAGGCCCCAGATGGCAAGTGTTTCGGCATGGCGGCCTCGGGCCATTTTTCGCACACCCCATGGCTCACAAGAGCCCGTTGTGCTCCCGTGTGCAAGCTCCACCGAAGGCGCCAGTGGCAGGGTTCGCATGGCGGCCCTGGGCCATTGCGGCACACCCCTCACGAGGATCGTGGCCCCATAGTTGCGCTGCTTCAACAACCGCGCATGGGTGTCGTACTCCGCCATGTCGACGTGCAACGCCACCTCGTCCCGCATGGCTCTCAAGGCCTTCTCCTGCTTCTGCTCCTCGGTGAGAGGGACGCCGTCCTTGTCGTCGTCGGCGCCCTCGAAGACTTCCACGAACGTGTCCCTGAGCATGTCGGGCTCCGGCGGGAAGCCGTGGCCACATAGGGAGCGCAGGCGAAGATGGCATTCACAATTGCGGCATTCACAACTGCATATGGTTGGGTCCTTCGCCAGGATAATTGTCGGTTTCGTGCGTGGCTTTTTCGCCAAATCATCAAGGATGCTCCTCGATGGCCCTCGCCGAAGGAAAAATGCACACGTCCGAACGATGCCAAGTCGTTGCATGCCGTGCGACAATCGCGGCCCACTCGTGCTCGGGCCCGGCTGCCCCCTGCAGGCCACCGGGCTGCTGGGCGCCCGATGCCACTCTGGCGAGAGGCCCTTCCCACGCAGGGCCGACCACGACGACGAATCCCCAAATCTCCGTCGATCTGACTTTTCAACCCCGGCACTTCTCCTACCCCGAGGTCCCTGGCGTCACATTTCTTGCTCGCACCAATCTGTTTCTCGTCCCGCCTCGGGCCCCATGCAGGACCATCACAAATCGATCCGGCCCGATCAGTGCCGCAGAAGGACGGGGTCCACTGTGATCCGACGTTGCCCCAAAGACTGCAGCGTCTCGAAAAATCACGACCAGAGCCCCGGACCCTGCCTTTCTGCGTAATTCTGTCCACCAGGATCGCTCCGTGAGGGCCCCGGGACCGCAAGCCTGGCGCAGGCGCCCGCTGTGACAAGATTGCAGCGCCAGGATCTGGGGGTCTGGGGCTCCAGTCGCCATCTTCACGGTGTTGCATGTGTCTCGTCGTCGTCGTCGTCGTCGTCGTCGTCGTCGTCGTCGTCGTCGTCGTCGTCGTCGTCGTCGTCGTCGTCGTCGTCGGATCTCAAGGTAGATTTCGGCCGTCGGGGGGGGGGGGCGGGGTACTTTCCGGGCCTGGGGGGCTCCCAGTGAGTACGGGGGGGCTGGGTACTTTCGGGCCTATGATGAAGGAGGGAGGAGGAAGGAGGATGAGGAGGCAGTAGGAAGGAGGTGGAGGGGAAGGAGGAGGAGGAGGAGGAGGCAGAAAAGCCCGGTCGGAGGACGCCCGGGCCAGCCGGCCACCCCCACCGATCCCGGCCAGCCCGCCCCCCGTGCCGAGGACGAGGACCCCAGCCTCCGCCGAAGACGCACGGGGCTGCGCCGCCTTCTGGGAAGGCCTGCCCCTCCTCCTCCTCCTCCCCCTCCTCCTCCTCCTCCTCCTCCTCCTTCCTCCTCCTCCGTCCTCCTTCTGCTCCTCCTCCTCCTCCTCCTCCCCGTCTTCCCCCTCCTCCTCCTCATTCCTTCTCCTTCTGGGTAACTTCTCCCTGTCGCACCCGGAGGCCAATTTTTAGGGCGGGCCGGGCCCTCACCCCCCCACGCCCCCCCTCTCGGCGTGCCGCCGGGTTGGGTTTCCGGGGCCATTGACTCGGGTCTCCAGCGGCCGCTCGGGACGATCCGGGCACCCCCCAGGCGCCTCTCGGCGAGGCGCAGCTGCTGGAACGCACCCAGAGGCTGAACAGAAATCCCTGGGAGCCGACGAGAACGTCCGAGAACGCCCTCGGCGCGGCGCCGAAGGAAGACACGCGACTCCATGATCTTTGTCATAGCGTCGACCCCCAGAGGTCAGAGAGAACGCGTTTCTGGGCCCGCGCCGGCGCCTGCGGCGGCGGCCGGCGGTGGCGGGGAGCGTCGACGAGGACGACGGTAGTGGTGGTGGTGGTGGTGGTGGTGGTGGTGGTGGTGGTGGTGGTGGTGGTGGTGGTGGTGGTGGTTTTGGTGTGTGCGTGGTGGGTTGTGGTGGGGTGGTGTGGTGGTGGCGGTGGTGGTGGCGGTGGTGGTGCGGTGGTGGTGTTGGTTGTGTGGTGGTTGTGGTGGTTTGTTGCGGTGGTGGTGATGGTGGTGGTGGTGGTGGTGGGTGGTGGTGGTGGTTTGGTGGTGGTGTGTTGGTGGTTGGTGGTGGTGGTGGTGGTGGGTCGTGGTTGTGGTGGTGGTGGTTTGGTGGTGGTGTGGTGGTGGCTTGTGGTTGTGGTGGTTGGTTGTGGTTGTGGAGGTGGTTTGTGGAGGTGGTGCTGGTGGTGGTGGTGGTGGCGGTGGTGGTGGTGGTGTGGTGTTTTGTGGTGGTGGTGGTGGTGGTGGGTTGTGCTGCTGGTAATGGTGGTGGTTGTGGCGGTGGTAATGGTGGTCTGGTGGATTGTGGTAGTGGTGGTAGTGGTGGTGGGTTTTTGTGGTGGTGGTGGTGATGGTGAGTTGTGGTGGTGGTGGTTATGGTGGTGTGGTGGTGGTGTGGTGGTGGTTTGTGGTGGTGGTTGTGTGGTGTTGTTGATGGTGGCGGTGGTTTGTGGACGTGGTGCTGGTGATGGTGGTGGTGGCGGTGGTGGTGGTGTGGTGGATTGTGGTGGTGGCGGTGGGTTGTGCTGCTGGTAGTGGTGGTGGTTGTGGCGGTGGTGGTGGTGGTGTGGTAGATTGTGGTGGTGGTGGGTTTTTGTGGTGGTGGTGATGATGGTGAGTTGTGGTGGTGGTTGTGGTGGTGGTGGTGGCTGTGGTGGTGGTGGTTGTGTGGTGCTGTTGGTGTTGTTGGTGTTGTTGGTTTTGGCGGTGGGTTGAGGCGGTGGTGGTGGTGGTGGTGGTGGTAGTGGTGGTAATCGTCGCTGCGTCCCAGCCGTCGCCGGCGCCAGCGCTGCTGGCCGCCGCCAGCGCCGGCGCCGGCGCGAGGGGGGGAGGGGTTGAACCCCCCCCTCCTTTGGCTGCCTCTGGCCATCGTTGCTGCGTCCCCACCTTGGGCGCTGCTGGCGGCTGCCAGCGCCGGTGCCGAAACGGGGGGGGGGTGGGAGGGAGGGGGGTCCCCCTGGGTTTGATCGACGGCGCCGAGTGTTGGGGGGGGCACCCCCTGGTTCGAAACGCGCCACCGAATGTTCCCAAGGCAAGCGCCCGTGAATGGAGATCGTCGTCCCCGCCGCCGTCGACAGCCGCCGCCGACGCAAGCGCCGGCCCGAGGAGAGGGGAAGGAGGCGGGGGAGGGAGGGGGGGGGGTCGGTCGTTTTGAACCCCCCCCCCTCCGTCACGGGAGGGGGGGAGGTTTGAAACTTCCCCCCCCTCCATCCAGGGGCGGGGGGGGGCCCGGTTCCAAACCCGCCCCCCCTCCAAGCGACCACAAAACGCGCTCTTCCAAAGGTCTCGACCCATTCCTCGGGCCCCGTTCTTCATCCTGAGTCGTTCTTGAAGGTCCCGAGGCCTGAAGAA